AAAAAAAAAAAAAAACACAAAGACTGCTAATGATGTATGCGCTTCTTCTTCTCGCCGGGAAGAGCTGATGATGGGCACACACACACACACACACACACACACACACACACACACACACAAACCCACGCATGCACGTGAGTGTATGCGTGGGTTTGTGTGTGTGTGTGTGTGTGTGTGTGTGTGTGTGTGTGTGCGCCCATCGTGTGCGCTCGTCATCAGCGCGTCAGCAACATCTGGAGTCCATATCATCCAAAGTAAACTCCAGCCACCATTCTTCTGTTGTTTTCGTTGATGCAATTCCCCATGCACGAGGTTGGGAAAAGGGAAAAAAAAACAAAAAAAACAGAAGATAAACAACAAGAAAATCATACAATGATTCGAATGCGTTCACGACGAGCGAAATAAAAAACTTGAAACACAAAGAGACGAACATACAACGAACCATAGAATTTCAAGGCAAGCTTCGTGTTCATCTTCCTACGAAAGACAACATCGGAAATTTCATCTCGTCTAAGAACAATCCAGGTTCTCGCCAACTGTTCTCGAAGCAGCACAATAGAAGAAATCCAGCAGCAGTTCTAAACCTGCCCGCGTGGGAGAGCACAAAAAAAAAAAAAAAAAAAAAAAGACGGACACTATTTCCATCACATCCACCCTACCGATGGAACAGTTGATGTACACAGCACGGCCGCCCTGCGACCGCCACGTGGCAGTTCCACCGTGGCACAAATCCCAAAAATCCCCGGACCCGGACGTCCAACCACCCCCGGCCGCCCTGCGACCGCCACGTGGCACTTCCGCCGTAGCTCGATTTCCAAACAATCCCAAACCCCCACGTCTAAACTCCCCTCCCCCGACCGCCGATTGTGAAGACTTCCACATCCCATAACGCAGACAACAGCATAGTCGAAGCGCCGGAAAGCGAGGCATCTGCATGCACTCTTAACACAAAGGGGAACACAACGTCAGGGCGCAAGGAACGTAGCAAGTGGCGGACCGGATGCCACGTGTCAAACCAGCGATAGAGGAATCACCATGCGCCGATTCAAAGCCTTATCTCCCCATGCAGATAATGACGGAGGAGAAGAGGGGGGTTGAAGAAAGTGTAGTAAAAGGCCCCCATATCCAAACTCGAAGCGTGCTCGATCGCGAGGTCAAACCTCTCAACGATATCTCCGACGATGTCAGGCATCGACGTATGTTCGTCGGGGACGAAATCCCCCGTCTTCTTCACCCATAGGAGCACGTGTGACAATGACCGCCTCCGAAAACCGAGGGCAGCATCAATGTCCACGGCAGCTCTTCCCTTGACGTCGACGGCGTAGAAACGGTACGATTTCTTCGTTATTTCCCGACCGAACGCATCCAACGGGCGGTTGAACCACCTGTCGCGCTCGCTGCGCTTCTCCCAGCAGAGCAGCATGTCTCCGCGCGCCACCTCCCTCCAAGCTAGCTCGACGGCCATCTCTCTCTCTCTCTCTCTCTCTCTCTCTCTCTCTCTCTCTCTCTCACCGATCGACCACACTGGACGGCTAGCGCTCCACGGCTGTTGACAGTCGGTGGCAGTGCAGCGCAAGGTAGTGCTGTCCACACGAAACAAAGCGGAGCATGGAGGTTCCTATATACCATCACACCGCCCAGTCTAGCCGATCACGACCACCACCTTCACGCAGACAAACCCCTCCCCTTCCTGGGTGAAAATGTTTTTTTTTTTTTTTTATTATTATTATTTTTTTCCCTTCTCGTCCCCGTATCTTGTCGTATGCGGGGCCAGACGTTTCGATTACGACAGCAGACGGTGACATCGGAATCTCGATTTTGTTGTTTTTTATTTTTTCTTTCGGCGGATCGGTGTTATCCCCATGCAGCGTGCGGGGTGTTGTTGTGTTGTCCCTAAAATTCAGACTCCCATCCGACCCACCACGGTGGAACCCCAGCCCCAACAACCCTCCCATCCGACCT